TCAGGGAGGGCTTATTTTGGGGGAGGGCTTATTTTAGTGCATGCATTCAAAAGTCAAATTGGGCTTATTATCTGGGAAGGTCTTATTTTCAGGGAAATAGGGTAGTGACACAGTTACTAAGCAGACACATCCTGTTCCTTAAAATCAGAAGTGAAATGGTTACTAAACAAAATGGTTGCTGACATATGACTGTGAAATAGACAGTGAGTGAATGCGTGGAAAGTTGCAAAGATCATTCAGATAAGTCACTGTGCCTCAGATAGGCGGGTGTGAGTCCCCTTTTGTGAAATGGGGCCTTGGAGTTCAGGTGGGCCTTTTTGTTACATACCTGTCTCCCTGCTACATTTCATCGGCCCTGCCAGAGCTGCTGCATGTGTTAGCTGGATTGGCAGTTGATTTCCCCAGGCTTATGATCCTGGAGGATTTCAATCTGCCTTCTATTGGTGAGACATCCGAGTCAGCTCGGGAGTTCATGGCTTCCATGACGGCTATGGACCTAACTCAGTTAATTCAAGACCCCACCCATAATGGGGGACACACGCTCGACCTGATTTTTGTCTCTGGGCAGTGGATGAATGATCTAGATTTAGGGGATATTTCTATCCAACCCTTGTCTTGGTCGGATCATTTCCTCATCAGGCTTGACTTCCATACTGCTACCACTCACCACAGGGAGGCAGAACCGACTAGATGGATCCTGAAAGGTTCCTGATGGAGTTTGGGACTTTTCCTGAATCCCTTGCTCACAACTGGACCGAAGCCCGAGTGGAAGCCTGGGATAGGGTGGCCATGGGAGCCTTGGATTGTGTTGTGCCTTTGCGGCCTCTGACCCATTGTCAATCCCGGGTATTCCCTGATTTACCGAGGAGCTCCGGGAGATGAAACACCGGAAAAGATGCCCAGAGAGTGGTTGGAGGGCCAGCCGGTCCGAATCTGATCGAACACTAATAAGAGTTCATATTAAATCCTATTTAGTGGCGATAAAAGCGGCAAAACAGCAACATTTTTCCACTCTTATCGCACCCGCAGATAACTGTTTAGGGTGACCCACTCCTTACTCAACCAAGGAACTGGGAAAGACCCCTTGCAGGATAGGGCTGAAGAATTTGTTCAGTATCTGCAGGATAAAATTGCTCAGATCCGGACAGGCTTGGACTCTAACTGGGTAGATTCGGGCGAGTCGACGGGGATGAATCTTGTGGAGACCATCTGGGATGAGTTTTTACCCTGTGACCTGCAAGGGCAGGGACAGGATTATGGGGAGACTCAGTGCTGCCACTTGTGTGCTGGACTCGTGTCCCTCTTGGTGAGTCTCGGCTTCCCGGGAGGTGACACGAGGCTGGCTCCAGGCGATTACCAACGCTTCATTGAGAGAGGGGTTCTTTCCCACCGCCTTGAAGGAGGCAGTGGTGAGGCCCCTCCTTAAGAAGCCTTCCCTGGACCCAGCTTCTTTAGCCAACTATCGTCCGGTCTCCAACCTTCAATTTCTAGCAAAGGTTGTTGAGAGTGCGGTAGCACATCAGCTTCCCCAGTACCTGGATGAAGCTGTGTACCTGGATCCGTTTCAGTTGGTTTCAGGCCCGGATACAGCACGGAGATGGCATTGGTCACGTTGGTCGATGATCTCTGGCGGGCCCGGGACAGGGGCTGCTCCTCTGTCCTGGTCCTATTAGACCTCTCGGCGGCTTTCGATACCATCGACCATGGTATTCTACTGCGATGACTCGGGGGGGTTGGGAGTGGGGGGGAACCATTTTATGGTGGTTCTCCTCCTACCTGTCGGATCGGTCGCAGTTTGTGTTGACTGGAGGGCAGGGATCAACCCCAAGGCGCGTCACTTGTGGGGTGCCCCAGGGGTCGGTTCTCTCACCCCTCCTGTTCAACATATCTATGAAACCACTGGGTGAGATCATCCGTGATTTTGGGATATGCTGATGATACCCAACTTTTCATCTCTACCCCAAACCACCAAAACGATGCCCTCGACGTGATGTCCCGATGCCTGGAGGCTGTGCGTATCTGGATGGGGAGGAACAAGCTCAAGCTCAATTCCTCCAAGACTGAGTGGCTGTGGTTTCCATCATCCCGATTTGTGCATCTTGTTCCATCTTTGATGATAGGGGGAGAAATTTTAGCCCCCTCAGAGAGGGCCCGCAATCAGGGAGTCCTCCTGGATACGCGGCTTAGTTTAGAAGAACACCTGATGGCCATGACCAGGGGGGCATTTTACCAGGTTCGCCTGGTACGTCAGTTGCGCCCCTTCCTGGATCGGGATGCTCTGTGCACAGTCACTCATGCCCTCGTCCTTTCTCGTCTGGATTACTGTAACACTCTCTACATGGGGCTGCCCTTGAAGAGCACCCGGAGGCTTCAACTGATCCAGAATGCGGCTGTGCGGGTTATCATGGGGGTACCTAGCTACTCCCATGTTGCGCCCCTTTTAGGCGGCCTGCACTGGTTGCCGGTTGTCTTCCGGGTGAGATTCAAGGTACTAATTATGATCTTTAAAGTGCTCCATGGCTTAGGCCCAGGATACCTGCGAGACCACCTATTGCCACCGGTAGCCTCCCACCGTTCAATGTGATCCCAAAGAGTTGGCCAGGTGCCGTCAGCCAGACAGTGTCGGCTAGTGACCGCCAGGGGGAGAGCCTTCTCTGTGGGAGCGCCTTCCCTCTGAAATGAGCTGCCCCTGGAGCTTCGTATAATCCCTGAACTTCGGTCCTTCTGACATGCCCTAAAAAGTTGGCTTTTCCAGCAAGCCGGCCTGACCTGAACAGAATAAAATAAATGATTGATTATTGTTAATTTTTATCAAATTTTAAATGTTATTTTTAATCTTAATTGGGGTTTTTTGGGGGGGGATACTCTATTTTTTTTTAACTTTTGTAATATGTGATTTTTTAAATGTTGTACGCTACCCTGAGTCCTTGGGAGAAGGGCGGCATATAAATCCAATAAACAACAACAAACAACAAGTTCTCATACAGTGCCCTGTGCTTGACTCATTTTTTTCCTACAACATCCTCCCCACCAGAAAGTGGAAAGATTACTTATCTCTTTCTGAGTTGCTTTTCTCCTCAATGCAGCACTTCCCTGAAAAGCGCTAATATAAGTTAAGAAGTTCAGTATTATTACTTTAATTAGTTGATTATAAACCTCAGACCAGATTACCCCCTGCCTGAAACCGACCAGACATTAATCAGTTTCACAATGAAGGCTTTTGTTATAAGGTGTATGAAGGTTGATCTAAATGCAGGAATTTTATATTACTGCTATATTTACAAATGGTTACTAGCCAAGGTAATTCAAGAAGTGGCTATATAACACTGGCCTGCTATCCTACTCTCCTTTTTTCTTACACATCTTCCAACTTATTCTACATCTCTTCCCTGATCGTATATAAAAGAGAGTGAGAGTTTTTCTCGGTTTAATCCTAAAAGTAGGTGCACAATTTCACTATAAGTTACCAGTTTCATATTCAAAAGTGCTTTGTATATGGGTTTCAAGCACCTTTTTTCAAGTGACAAACTTTATTTAAACTTTATGGATTTTTAAAAACTTTATTTCCCCTCATAAACATTTTAGGAATTCTAAATATTCTAGGTCTGATTTAAGCAGTATGAACAATTCCAATAAATTTATATATATACATTTCATATGTATATTGTACAGTCAGAGAAGAATCTCATGCAAATGAATGTTACTTGTTGCAAGTTTATCTTTGTTGATTACTGAAAACCTAGCAAACAGATAAATATTTCCATTGTTGATGCTAACAAAGAATAAAAGAATAAGAAAATAATTCATTTTGGTTAGTTACTTTAGCACTATATTTTTGGGTGCCAAAATGCAGAAAGATTACTAGTGGCCATGATAACAGAATGAGAATTTCTATTGGTATAAAAAAATAATTAACAAGGGTTTACACAGATAAATTTCCAAGTTGGTTCACATGTCAAGGTATTCAAATTACGTTATAAAACAAGAAACTACACACTACATAAAAATTGAATGCTAAAGACACTTTCTTAGAAGAAGAAGCACATTACTAAGTTTTCTTTTGCAAGTGAGAACTAAATCGAGATTAAAATCTTTGAAGATAAGCAGAATTTAAGGAGGGTTTGAAGTTATAATGGATATCCCCAGAGCTACTTAAAATCTAGTTTTGAAGTTCTTACAGCTGTCCCCCTGCAGTCACATTATCACATTTTAGGCGGGAATTTCCAGCTGTTTTCTGCATCCTGTGTCCATGTAATCATGATTTACAACAATTTCTTGCCAGATAGTTTCCAACAAGAATTGCCCATTGGGCCCTTTTTAACAACTGCAGTGTTCATTCAAGGACTGTGGTAGTCATTTAATGACTGCTGCAAAAAGTCATACAAATGGGTGTGGCAATTGTGGTGATCCACTTAATGACTGGCACAATTTATGACCATAATTCCATCATAAATTAGAGTCATAAATCAAGCACTATGATGTTTCTGCCCACTGTTTTTTTCTGAGCAATATGATTAGGATACAATCATTTTTCCAACCCCCATATTCCTTTTTAACTGCAATTGCCAAAAGTTAGTGATGTGGTTCCAAAATAAATCTTGAATGTTTGAAAAGAAAAATGAAATAACTCAATATTAAGAATGTATGTGTTATATAAAAAAAGAAAAGTTAAGCTATTCCCATATTTTTAATTACCCCCCCCCCCAAAAATTGTTGCACTTAACAACAGAAGTTAATCCAGCTAATCAGCAAACAGAAAATAATAAAAAATGAGTAACATTGTTTAAATTATCTTATGTAATCATATTGGCCTTGATCAGACATAACCCAGGAGAAAAAACTTTAGCAGACATAGGATTTATGCCTCATTTGAAAAACTACCAACTAAGATCTAGGAAACTTCTGGTGATGTTACAGATAAACCAGTTTGCAAGTAACCAGAGCACAAACAATAGTTAATAATCTGAATTATGCTGTCATGGTTAAGATTAACAGAACAGACTCAAAGGTAATTAATCTGAAATAGAAGCAGAAGTTCTGAATCTTCTTGCTGTATCATAAGATGAGAAAAGAGAGAAAAATATAGAATGATGATAAAATCTAAGTCATTCAGCTTTATTTTCATAATGCTAATTATTTTAGAATGTTAACCTTCTTTATTGGATTGGATTGTTTCATCTTTCGTGAAAAGGGGAAACTAAAATATAAGATGTTCCACTTTTAATTAAGTATGCAGACTGAAAGAATGAGAACTAGAACAGAGCTGAAATCTTATGCACATTCTCTTGATAGGTTGGATTGGGCAATATTATTCATAAAATATGCATTTTCATTTATTTTGCTCTTTCTTCATATATTGGATAGATATAAAGAAAATGAAAACCTATACAACAAAATGATCATTAGAAACTCTCAAGCACAGCCCTTGTGATTACATAGATACATCCATACAGTCTTCTTGATAGCTAGTGATTTTACCAGATTCAACACTGATTATTGGTGGGCGGGGGGGGGAGGGTGTTCAATTTCAATCTTGATCAGTCAGGTAGTGCCTCCTCATATGACATTTAACAAGCAGTTACAGTTTATACATTACTGTTTCATAAGTGCAGTAATCTAGTAATCTAATAGTCTCATATCTTGGGCAGGAAGTTGGATTAGAAGACTTCCAAGGTTCCTTCTAGCCCTGTGATTTTAGTTCTACTAATTTGTTGTTAAAAAGCAAGTTGTAGAGAACAGCAAATGTAATAGCACTTGTAAGATGTTTTCTCTATTTAATAAGAAGCTAAGATTTCCCATCATCATTCTTTACTTGCATAAAGGCTAAAATCAATCGGAGACAAATACAGAAGTAATAAAAATCTGGCAGCAGTTGAAAAAATAAAACAGGATTTAACGTATCTATGAAAGTCTACACATCAAGATTAAAATTGTCCACTAAAATATAAACATTTTACATGCATGCATGAATAGCAAAGATAGCCTGTAGAATATAATTTCTCCCCATCTCAACCATATTGCTCAGCTTCTATAACTACGGTAGATATAGAAGCATAGATAGAATGATGTTGGTACACGAAGCCAAAGAATTTAAAGACAAGAGTGACATCTAGTGGAATTTAAAGTGGGGGGGGGATCAAAGAACAGACAGAATTGTACTAAATATTTTTCTGATTTTATTTTTAGGTTTAAAGCAATACTTCCAGAGATAGAACATACACATTATTTTCCCTGTCTCCTCTCTTTTAATTGAAAAATGTGCATTTTACTCCTCTTCTATTTTTTGGCATAGGTTTCTAATATATTGAAATTTTTATTTTGTTTATATTTTAACTTTTTTCTAGTTTAGTTACTGGAGCAATTCTCGCCAATCAGAAATTATATAATCAACAGATGACATAGAAGTTTAGCTAGCTTAAACAATCAAAATCTTAGACAGCAATCAAAACCTTTTCATAGATTCAAGATTGGTATACCACTAGTTTGTGCCAATTATGAAGACATCACCAAAGTCCAGTCCTCAAGTGCACAAGTGAAAATATTAGGCATCTATAAATGGCATCCTGACCCATTTGAAACTGCAGCCCGTTCTGATACTGGGAGATTCTACAAAACAATTTGTGACATAATATGGCTATCAGTTGCTTAAAGATAAACAGAAAATTTGCTTGGTTTAAACACAAAATCCTTTTATCTGCCTACCTATCTATCTAATTAGATTCAACGAGTATCCCTTCCTTTATTGCTGCTACAAAGCTTTTCCTTATATCTCCTAAAATAGCTATGAGAATCAAGCAGCTGTCTGAAGCAGGATTTTCAGGATCTGAAGGATCTGCTTTCCAAAAATCAGCCAGTCAAAGAGTTCAATTACCTGGACTGTATCCTGTCTGTCTGTCATCTGTCTGTCTGTCTGTCTGTCTGTCTGTCTGTCTGTCTGTCTGTCTGTCTATCTATCTATC